CTGGCTCTTCTTAGTTTGCGGAGGAAGTAGAGACGCTGCTGTGCTTTCTTGGCCAGTGCTGTGGTGTTGTCAGCCCAGGAGAGATCATCTGTGATGTGCACACCCAGGAACTTGGTGCTGCTCACCCTCTCCACAGTCACACCATTGACAGTCAGAGGAGCATGCTGAGTGCGCACTCTCCTGAAGTCAACAACAATCTCCTTCGTCTTCTCCACATTCATGTTGTCAGTGTTGTCAGTGCACCACCCGGCCAGGCGGCTCACCTCGCTCCTATAGTTTGTCTCATCTCTGAGACCCACTATGCTGGATGTGTTGCTGCCGACCCGAACTGCCTGAGGTCTTCCAGTCAGAAAGTCCAACAGCCAGTTGCACAGCGAAGTGTTGAGCCCCAGCTGGACCAGTTTGTGAATGAGCTGTTGAGGGATGATTGCGTTGAATGCTGAACTGAAGTCTATGAACAGCAGAAGTCTATGAACTTTATGCACCAAGAGCTTGTAACACTCCAAAGAGAAAGGAAAACTTGAAATCGCATCATATGACCCCTTTAAAAGTTGCTCTGTGCATAATGAGCTGGTGGGTTTATGGTGTGGTGGGCCGCTCTGTGCCAGAAAGTCCAGGGCCACTTTTTAGCCCCAGTCCGCCCCTGTTTAGTATATTGAAAAAGTTTCAATCCAGTCGATCTTTTTTACCCTGTTTTAACATGGATTTCTATGGAGACCGGCCGTAGCTGTCGGGCAAGATGGCGGATAGCAACAGCAGCACATAATATTTGCGTTCTGATTGGTCAGATCGCCTGTCAATCAAACTCTTTGCGAACGGTCAATTGAGTACCTTGATGCTTGATTTTAGTGTTCTGTGTTTTTGTGGTTGAATTTGTACCTTCAAATAAAATATTTTTCAATTCTTTAAAAAGGTTGCTTAAAATAAACAAGATTTTTTTAATAAAGCTTATTGGGAACAGGGGTGTGCTTAAAGGGTACAAAAATGTACCCATTAAGCACAGCCAGACTTTTTGCATTTAATGATGTTATCTAAATTGAAATGCTTTTGTCATTTAAAATACAATTAAATATTATTGTGTGAGAGATTCATATTTTATTTGAACATAACTTCTTGTACTGGAACCGATATCTTGTGCACTAAAAATGTCTCAATGCAGATGTTGGTGAATAGGTACGTTTATCCTAGTCTATAATATAGTCTATCACACTTGTTCCGTTGTCTGACAAAAATATGTAAATGAGAACAACTTTATTGGACATTCAGTTATATATTAAAATCCAGTATGTGAGCAACAGATGAAAACAGAAAACAGATGTAAACTGCCGATTAGCTATTTTACATTAAAAACAGTTGCCAACACTGGTCATTATTGAAAAAAACTGGTGCCATATTTAGCATAGATACAGTAGCATTTACAGGAGATATGTTCAGTTGCAGAGCTGCAGCCAGCTATGTTTATTTATTTATTTAGTCATTTAGCAGACGCTTTTATCCAAAGCGACTTACAAATGAGGACAACAGAAGCAATCAACTGTAGTATTAAAACAACTAAAAACAGATCCAAAACTAAAAGCTAAAACTTTATAAATACTACCTATACACATTTTAAAAATAAAGAAATTAAATAAAAATGACAAATGCATACAACAAAATTTCAAACCTTAACATTTAAATGAAAAACAAAAAATAAAGCTAAAAGCAATTCAAAATATTAAAGAACAGAAGGTGTAAGAGTATAATAATGATTCTAACATAACACTAAGCCAAACACCAAAAAAACAACTACATATGTGTATGTACAACCA